GTGCTGATGGTGCTGATGGTGCTGGTGCTAGTGGTGGTGCTGGTGCTGGTGTTGGTGCTGGTGGTGCTGGTGCTGATGGTGCTGGTGCTGATGGTGCTGGTGCTGATGGTGATGGTGGTGCTGTTGTTGGTGGTGCTGGTGCTGATGGTGCTGATGGTGCTGGTGCTAGTGGTGCTGGTGGTGCTGGTGCTGATGGTGCTGGTGCTGATGGTGCTGGTGGTGCTGCTGATGGTGGTGCTGGTGATGACAGTGGTGCTGGTGCTGGTGCTGGTGGTGCTAGTGGTGATGGTAATGGTGGTGCTAGTGATGGTGGTGCTGTTGCTGGTGGTGCTGGTGGTGCTGGCGGTGCTGATAGTACTGGTGGTGCTGGTGAAGATGGTGCTGGTGATGCTGGTAGTGCTGGTGGTGATGGTGCTGGTGCTGGTGGTGCTGATGGTGCTGGTGCTGGTGGTGCTAGTGGTGATGGTGCTGGTGGTGCTGGTGAAGATGGTGCTGGTGATGCTGGTGGTGCTGGTGGTGCTGGTACTAGTGGTGCCATTGGTGCTAGTGGTGCTGGTGGTGCTGGTGCTGGTGGTGATGATGATGGTGGTGCTAGTGGTGACAGTGGTGCTGGTGGGGCTGGTGTCAGTGGTGCCGGTGGTGCTGGTGGTGCTGGTGATGGTGATGGCAGTGGTGGATGTTAGTGATGGTGTGCTGGAACAATAGTTACGGGATTGTGTTGGGAACAGCTTTTCCCCAACATTCCCATACATGTTTCGCACTGGGTACGGGAAGACGTGGGAGAAAGGATGACAGGCGCACGGAGAAACCACTCCGGGAGCCAGCCAATTGCCTCTCACTCTATAGCCAAATACGTACATATTTTATAGGAGGTCTCGACTTAAGAGGATGGGCCAATCACATGAAGTTTAGCATTCTGACCTATCACCTTCCCAACTCTGCTTTGCCCGTTCCAGTCCCAATCAGGGCTGGATGCTGAGGTTAGGAATGCAGCTAGGTGACAATTCTTGGGGACGAGACTAACGGCTGGATACCCGGCGCTAGTAAAATGCGCCCAGACACTCCCTACTGGGTTGCTATGCAGGGACAGGGCCTGTCTGCTCTGCAGGGACAGATCTTATCTGCTATCTCAGGGACAGTCTTCTCTGCTCTTTGGCCTGTTGTGTGCTCCACAGGAATGGCTCCTCCTTCTCTGTGTTCTGCGCTGGGGCAAGTGAGTGAGAGCGACGTCCCTCTCTGGGGTGCAGAGTGTCAGGGGTGTGGCTGTGGGCAATTTGGTCAGCGGGGCTACGTAATCCAAGATCTGAGTGACTGGGAGGGTCTATCCCAGCCAGGAAACTTCTAGAAGATGCTAATCTACCATCAGTCATGGTCACGGTCCTCCCGTTGTTCATCGATTTGCTCGAGCAGGCCCAGTAACGTCTCCATTGGAGACTTTGTTGTTACTGTGTTTGGCATATCGAGTACGTCACAGGGAGCTTGCCAGGCTCTGCCATGCGGGCGAGATACTCTCGGTAGCTTGCCGGGCTCTCCGAGAGGGGCGGAGGAATCGAACTCGAGTTGGCCATGTTGGCTGCGTGCAAGGCAAACGCCCTACCACTGTGCTATCACTCCAGCCCCAATCTACCATAATATGCGGATAAAGAAAAAAAATATTTACAAAACAGACATTTCTCATTAAAAATGTTCATTACAAAATCAGAAGATGGGCAGGAAAAGTCAGAATTCCTTAAACTCAAGTCAGCATTGCCGAGTTTAAACCCACCTGCCTCACGGGAATGGGAGAAAGACAGGAGGTTCTGCAGCCCCGGCCAGTGGCCCGATACCCTCCCGCCCTCCGAGAGGAGAGGAGCCATCGGGAGGCAGCTGGGGGCCGTCCTCGCTGTCGGCTCAGCAGTGTCGCTGTGCGAGGTTTGCCTCACACCCCCTGGCCCAGCCTTGGTCCCACCTCAGTCTAATCGCACAGGGTTACCTGCAGGAGTCAAGGGCACCTCCCTGGAGTCCAGAACGTGGCTGCGAGGGTCCCGGGGCTAATGGATTATTGATCCCAGGGGGGCGTGCTCAGAAGGTATAGATCCGTCTCTGGAGGCTTTCAAGGCGGCTGGAGAGAAACAGTTCCCCGGAGAGCTGCATATTGGATTTAGCTTAGCGGGGGACACAGCGGGTGAGGGGCAGGTCAGCCCAGGCCAGTGCCCGGAGCTGGGCGGGGGCAACCTTGGCGCAGAGAAGCCCCCGGGCCCCACGCTGTGATTTGCTCCACTTGAGATTTCCTGTTTCTGCCTCTTGGAAACGTTTGGAATCGTACTCGGAAACCATCGGCATTGCTGTTCTTGGGAAAACAAACCGTGTCACTGCCTTTCAAGTTTGTGGGATAAAAGCCACCGAGTCATCAGCTGCTCCTGCCTCTCTGTGGACGTCCACTCCATCCCAGCTCTTAAAATTCGCCTGTTCTGGTGACCCTGAAGTGCTCCCACCGTGTGCAATTCAAGGTGTTTGCGGG